GGCGTCGCATCATCTGTTTGGTATATTGACTGCCGCTTTGCTGCGGAGGAACCTGTATTCTATACGACTGCTTTTCCGGAGGTTATACTGTGCTTATTGCCTGGCCAGCTCAACTGGCAAGTCGTTCAACGTCACAGTATCTAGTCTACGGGCTGTTATCGACTTGGATCTCAGAACTCGCGTACGATATCGCAATATGCTTCTTCCCATGCGCTGGACAATCTTGGCAGTTCAATTTATGCCTGCAGCATATTGAGTACCGTAAGCACGTCAGATCGTGGGCGAATGAGCAAGTCTATACGTCCGCTCACCAAGGTTTGTCATCCTTCAATACTTCGACCATCTTATAGCACGCTCGACGCTGACTCTACATGGCTCTTCCTGGTCGCCAAAGAACGGACGGGTCGCGAGTGGTCGTTGTAGGAGCGGGGTCGGTGATATAGCGCTGGGAATTCGCTTGATGATGTTGATCCATTCGCAATGCAGGATCGGCGGCGTCTCCTTTGCTATCGCGCTGAAAAGACAGTTGGGTTTTCAAGGTTTCACCGTAAGTCGTCGATGACTTCTCCGAGCTACAAGCGGCTGGCTTCATCACGACGTCCCCTCATCTACTAGATCTACGAGCAAGCCACCGATATTGGTGGGACCTGGCGAGTACGTTGGGCCCATGAGAAATGTATATATGCGCGCTCATCAGATGTTTGCGTGCGGATGGGCAGGACAACACCTATCCCGTGAGCCAAACCAGTTCATGCATGTGACATAACCGACCGCGAAAGCAGGGAAGTGGATGCGACACACCTGCACACTGGTACAGTCTCTCAACAGACTTGAATCCTTACTGGAGTACCACCGTCCCCCCTCAGCACGAAGTCTGGGCCTACTGGAAAGCTCTTGCGACAAAATATGACTTGTACGAGCACACAACCTTTCATACGAAGGTCATATCTGCAGCCTGGGATACCGCACAGCAAAACTATTGCATCGTTCTCGAGGACGTAAAGACGGGCGAGCGGAGGGATACGCGCGCCTCGGTAGTCATCTCCGCGCAAGGCTACTTGGTCGAGCGCCGGATTCCCGAAAACCTGCGCGATGCAGGCTTGGAAAGGTTCGCTGGACCCGTGTTTCATTCCGCAAATTGGAATCACGACATACCACTGAGCGGTAAGAGAGTCGTCGTTATCGGGAATGGTGCCTCGGCGTAAGTCACAGTTCGCGTGATACAACTAAGGAAGTGTGTGATTTGAGGTCTGTTGTAGTGCCCAGTTCATTCCGCGTCTGATAGCGGATCAGAGCACGTATGTCGTGAACTTCTGCCGCACGGCGAACTGGTTTCTTCCAAGTGTGAGTGGAACGGCTCTCGAAGTTCGAGCTCGTTAGCAGCGGACGGGGAACTGACAATGCAGCGTTGCATCAGATACGCGGAGATTATTCGACTTTGCAAATTTGGGCCTTCGCCAACGTTCCATTTGTGCTGCGCTTGTATAGGAACTGGCTCGTACTAGTAAAGTCAAAGCTGCGGCCCTACATGCGCGCACGCTAACCGGGCGGACTTTGCAGGTGAATGGGTTGTTTCCGATCATGCGAAGGAAGTGGAGAGCTGTTTTCGGTGGTAGGGCGCCAGAACAGGTGTGTATCTGTGTTGCTGTCTTGGCACCGTATGTCACGATACGTTTGTAGCACTTGATAGATTACATTCAGCAAACCGCTCCAAGAAAATACCACGACCAGCTCGTTCCTAGATACCGTATGAGTTCCTGCATATAGCGATTCAATGCGAGACTGACGATGCATGTTGCCCTCATTGATATAGCGCTTGGATGCCGCCGCCCCATTCTCGACCCTGGTTACCTCGCATGTCTGCACCAAAGTAACGTCGAGTTAAACTGGAATGGTATCAGCCGAATCACGGAAAACGAAATACACACGGACAAAGGTGAGACCATGTTTACCTGGAAATTATGGCATGAAATCCTTCAATAACTGTCTGGCAGGCGAAACGATTGCGGCCGATGTAATAATCCTCAGTACCGGCTTCGTTACCGTGAGTCCCAAGCCAGAGCATTGAGAATATTAAGTTGGACGCACTGACTCACAAACTGCCACCCGTAGGACCAATACTCGGTCCATATCACAGGCAGTGACGGTCAAACCTTAAGCGACTATTTCGCCGCAAACGGCGGCCCAACCGCCTATCTTGGCGTCGGCGTCCCCGGATTTCCCAACTTATTCTTCGTCGGAGGTACGTCCACTCGGACCCCTTTCTCGCTCGCGCAAGGGAGCGCTGACTATGACAGGCCCAAACACGGTCACCAGCAACGGCTCCGCCGTGTTTACGCACGAGATCGCGGTACGTCCCCGGCGGCGCACGCTGAGATGCGTGCGCTGACTTCGTCGTTTCCAGATCAACCAGATCGTTCAGCTCCTCCGACCTGTCCTCTCACCGTCGCCGTCGATATTGTCCGTCGCGCCGAAACGGGCTGCGCATGACGCGTACAACAAACGCCTCCAGGAGACGCTATCCGCGACGAGCTGGGTGCGCTGCGCGTCGTGGTACCGCGCCGGGGCCGACGGGAACGGCAAGAACTTTGGCATCTTTCCGTGGTCGGTGTGGGCGTTCTGGTGGTTGACAAGGCGAGTGGATTGGGAGAATTGGGAGTGTTTAAGCGTGTAAGTTGTACGGTAAACGAACAGAGATGCCGTTGTAGCAGCCGACCCTTGCTTGAGATGGGGTGAGTCAGTAGTGCATAACACAGACATATTGAAGCCTGCAAGAAATTGAGACAATGGGGATGAGGTGGCGTATAGCATTGCTGTAGTCATGGTCCCATGGGAGGGAGCATCTTCCAGCGGGTCATTGCGCGAGCAGCGACTGTCAAGACAGCATTGACTAGCACATGCACAGGCGGCTGATCATGAGGTGGTCGTGCAATCTGGACATACCAGTCTGGACCCATGTGCGGGCGCAAGCAGGCAGGCACGTTGTGTCCAGGTATGAACGGCGGCCAGGATCGAGAGCGTCAGTGACGACGGGCGGCATCGTCCCTGATGCAACATCCGTGCAGCTCTCCCGGATAAAAAAACAAGGCGTGCTCGCTGTGGTGCATACTGGTGTTGTGCAGTATGGGTGTCCTGCTTTTGTGGGCGCAGAGAGTCACCTGATAGAGTCCAGCTCTGTCTGCGAGCGGGAGACACCAATGCATGCCCCTGTGATGAGCGTATCGACAATAGGGAGCGGGGATGCTGGTGTCGTGCGTCACCATGGCCGAACGCGAGTGGGGTGTGGAACACCCGCTGGCATATGCTCGTGCGAGGGGGAGAAATGGTGAGACGGCCCGAGCCTCATGGTTTTTACAATTATATCTTGTTGGAAATGTGAAAAGTCTGGACACGTCCGGATGAACTTGCGGCGGAGGCGACGGCATACAGGTTACTGAGCTTGGTGATGAATGAGACACATGTGACGAGGCGACGAAGTGGCGTATGTGCACATCGTGCGCAAGATGCTGTAGATCCTCCGAGGTCGACTCGGCATACAGTGTGCACGAGGGCACGGCGCCGTGGCGTATGTTCAGACCAGAGGTGTATACTGGAGCGAGAGGCCAGGAGTGCACGGAGGCGGGTGTCCGGACGTGCGAGGGCCACTGGCAGGAATGGCATCAGCAACCGCGAAATAGGACGGAGAGCGACGTAGGAGATGTGGACGCAGGTTCCAATTACTCAAGGCGTTCAAATCCAGCGGCAGTCGTCGAGTGAGTAGCTCCAAGTTGCGTGATGTGGTTAGGACTGGTGATACCGTGATCCTTTCCCCCAACGTAAATGAGCGCAACATGTTCGGCGGAGGCACATGCGATACCGGTGATCTGCACGAGTCTCTTCATCTCCACGTCGACAAATCTTGTGGATGGATGGAGCGCCGAGGCTGCAACCACGGGATGGATGTGCCTGTAGTTTGGGTGGCTTCTGACGCATTCCCGTACCCACTCCCGTGCTAGCGCAAGATTTGCCTATGTAGACATTCTTCTGTGGACGCTAAATGTTGTGTCCACCCGTGTCGCGTCGATCAGTGCGTGCCGACCTAGCACACATTGATCTACAGACTCATTGTAAGTCACGAAAGTATAGCTCTTGCTCGACTTTGCTGCTATACCATGTATCGGTCAGAGCAGCGCCAGTGACAATAGGGTCTCACACATGGTCGTCTCGTATGTCATTACCGGAGGAGCAGCCGCCGTCTGCCCTACCTATGATGGCTAATTAGCAGGATTCTGACACAAATCGCATGCGTCGGCGTCGTCTTGTAGAGTGCAATATTGGAAGCGTCTGCAGCGTACCTTAAAATCCGCTCTCGGGAAACGATCGGTAGACGTTGTAGATCAATTTGCATAGGTTGCAAATGCACTGGCGGGGACCCGGAGGCGTGACATCGAAATACAGACTCACCCTGCCGGCGCTAAGTTGTGCGAGGGAAAGCGTCGAACATCTGGCATACATCCTCCTAAAATTAATGACGATCCCTGACACCGTGACGTTGTTTTTATTGACAAGTAGCTGAGATGAATGACAAGAACTCGAGTTGACTTCGTTCATGCAGCTCCTATTGTTTGCGATCGCGAGGGTGTCCGCGGGGCAGGATCTATTGAGTTGGGGCGCATCACTAAGCATATTGATGAGATTGACTGGCATTGCCGATGGGCTATGTGCTACGGACCATGATGCATACCAAGTGCATAGGTATAGCGAGCAAGGGCTTTGTGAAGTACAAAATCAGGAAAGTAAAGTAACCTTGCCCAGTACGATCGAGCCTGATATCGTAGTGGCGTCAAAGTCAGATCAATATAGTGATCCCTAGTAACGAAGAGCGAAATATAGTAGTCATTAATATTGGAAAGGTGCCGACTGCATTGAGCAGCTTTTCCTCCCTTGCAAAATAGGCCTTTCCTCGCTGAGGAAATGGTCATTTATTTGCTGGGTCTATACACTACTGCTACATGGCTCCACTCCCACTAGACGACTACAAAAAGAAAATACTGCAGGTGACAATTATGCCGCATTCGTCCACGGCCGACACACTCGCTTTAGCCAGCGCGCCTTCTTCGCATCCAGTGCTTTGTCTGCGCTCCTGAGCGCTGCGAGCTGCCGTGTGGCAAGAACGCACGTCTCGCTCCGGAACTTTGTGACCAGCCGCTTGCGCAGCTTTGTCTGTGATATCCGTAACATCGGCAGTTGCGCATGTAACAAAAATGCACATACCATCGCTGCATCGCTGCCCGTTGGGGCAGCGGCGGGGAACACATCGTGCAACCAACCGCGTGTAGGACGCACGTCGACGTCACCAAAATTTTCCAGCCAGATCTGCCAGAGACACTCTTCCCAGTCTGCCGCGCGTGTGTTCGCAGTTGCAGCTGCTGTAGAAGACAGGAAAAATCGCTCCGTGCACCACAGCGGATCGTCGCGTGGCAGCACAACCGGTGCGAGTAGGGAGAAGGGGAAGCCCGTTTGACCCCGTGTAGTAAGGATGGCTGGGCGCTGGCCCTCTTTCTGCAACGAGGGTCCGACGATCGCTCTAGATGAGCTAGTAGAGCCAAAGGCCGGCTTGAGAGAGCGGTAGAGCGTCTTGGGTGGCGCAGTGGAGAGGTTACCAGGGAAGAGGGCGACGTAAGGAGTCTGCGAGAAGAGCCGAGCGAGGTTGAGGAATGCGTTCGGGTTGTCACGCGTCTGTGCATCTAAATGGACCAGATGTACAGAGAGCGTGGACGCGAGCAGTGAATGCTTTGTCCGCAGATCCAAGACTGAGGTGAGGAGAGCAGCGTGTTCGGTGGAGGAAGGCTCTACTTTCGTCGTCACAAGGAGCGAGATCGGACCTGCGCGCGATGTAAACGAACGTGATACACCTGGAACATTAACTTACCTGTCCACCGTTGTGCCCACGAGTTTATCAAACTGAGGTCTTGATCCGTTGACCAGAGACACGCCGTTACGGCAGCAGGATCCACAGTCGCCTTTAGAACGTACGGATCCAAGGCCTTCGGTTGAGGGTGAATTGCGGTTAGCTTGGTAAGTAAATGTGCCATTGGAAGACCTGCGAGGGGATTCGTGATTTGGACAGCCAGACTAGGGATACCTCTATTGACAGGGAGGATCATTCCAAGATTTGGCAAGATGACCCTGACAGCAAAAAATGCAGAGCTTAGGACACAGTGTAGCAGGAAAGCCCACTTCAGCCAGATGAATCGTTGTCGGATAGTTTGTGCGACATAGGAGGAGAGGCAACGACCAAGGATGCCCCCGGGGCGGGAGGGCCTTGTGCCGAATGAGAATTCATACTTGTTTGGTGACATCTTGCGAATACAAAATTCTACTAGCAGTGGTACCCCAAAAGACGAATGTCGATCAGACAAGTGGGACACTTAACATATAATTCTTCTCGAGAGATCTGAATGAGGGAGACAGGACAAGTCTAGGTCCGTAAAGTGGAAGTTGGTTCTGTCGCACGGAGATTCCCGTCGACCCGAGAGCGCATATATTCCTCACATAGTACCCTCTCATATAGAGCATGATATATTTCGTGTCATGGAGAATTGATCAACAAATGCAGCAAGAATTACAGCAATCTCGAGAGTTGAAGTAATGATCATGACCACTCCTCATCCAATTATAATCACGCCTTGACGAACAGATCGGTGAATTTGTCTACAGACATGGAAATTAGCGACGCCGGGTCGTTAACCGCGGCCAAAATCCTAGGGCAGATAGTGAGCAAAGTAAATTAACACACAGACAGAGACACATACTTCTTCTGATGAGCCTCGTCAAAGTGCGGGCTAATGTGATTCTTGAACTTCTGCAGCAGCAGTGGCGTCCCCTCCGCCCGTCTGCGCTTGTGTCCGACCGGGTACTGCACTTCGACCTCATCCAGCACCGTGCCGTCGTTCAGCTCCATTAGGAGTGCGTTAGAGATCGACCGCTTCGACGGTTCGTGGTAGTCGACACTGTACGCCGTCTCTTCGACGCAGGTGATTTTCGCCCGCAGCGCGTCGATGCGCGGGTCAGCGGCTGACGCGTCCGTGTACGAATCGGACGTTAACTCGCCGAAGATGAGCGGATATGCAACCATGTAGTTGATGTCGTGACTGGCGGACTATCAGTCACATTTTACTCAAGCAACCATCAGTAAAAGCTCTCACTCTCGGTCGGCAAAGTTGTCCAGGGGTCCGCGCTTGTTGATGATGCGCATCGCTGCCTCCTGCGTTCTGATCCGGATGCTTTTGATGTCGTCACTCGTCTTGCCCATCGCCTTCAGCTTTGCGTGAAGGATGTGTGCAGCCTCCACAGCAGTCTGTGCATGGAACTCGGCGGGGTATGAAATCTTAAAGAGCACGTTCTCCATGATGTACGAAGAGTACGGCATCTGGAACTCGAAGGGCTTGCTCTAAAGTCAAACGTTTAGCAGAATAACAGCAACAGCGGTTGTATGCACCTTGAACAGCACGTCGTAGAAGCCCCACGTCTTCGCAGTCAAAACAGATGGCATGCCCTTCTCCCCTTTCTTGACGAGGTACGCGATGTTGACGGCGCGCGCACATGCGTCACCTGCTGCCCACGACTTACGCGATCCCGTATTGGGTGCATGTCTGTACGTGCGGAGCGACTGCCCGTCTGCCCAAGCCTGCGAGATTGCATCAATGGTTTGTGCGCGGTCGAGGCCACTGACACATAATCAACATGCATACTCGGTCTCAAGCGGTTAGAGCACTTACAGTAACTTCGACACAACAGCCGTGCTGGCAACCTTCACGAGGACAACGTGGTCGAGTCCAACTCGGTTGAACGAGTTCAAGAGCGCAAGTCCTCCCTGAATCTCATGTGCCTTGATCATCCCCTCGAGGATGTCACGAACAGTCAGAGGCTGGCCCTTCCGCGCAAGATGGTCGGCCACAGCGAGGATGGCTCCCAAGTTATCAGAGGGGTGACCCCACTCGGCAGCAAGAAAACAATCGTTGAAGTCTAGCCAACGGATCTGAGTGCCGATGTTGAAAGCGCCACGAATGGGATCGAGTTGGTAGTTGGTACCGGGGACCTTCGTGCCTACGCCGGACGGAAACTAGTTGTAACAGGCCAATGTGATAGAGGCAGGTTCACGCACCGTTTGGCACGACAGTACCCTCTACAACTGGCCCGAGAAGACGAGCGCAAGCCTCAAATCTCAATCCCTCTAACCCACATCCGATGGTGTCAATCAAGCAGAGCCGGGCAGTTTCCCAAGCCAAGTCAGAATCGATCTTATAATTGTGAACGTAGTCGGCAATGTCTTGGAGGACTTGGTCAGGCTCAGGTCGCGCAGCAGACTCTGCATGAGATGACATGCTACGAGAAGGGCGAAGGCTGGAGGACAACTGGGTTGACGAGAAAAGAGATTTGCGGAGACCCGTGGACGACCTAGGAGCGGCGACAGAAGAAATAGCAGCCAAACGTGCACGAGTCACAGGCGTCTTGGAACCTAAAGCCCGAGGTAATGAGGCACGAGCCGTCGATAACATGCTTTATGAATCACCAGAGTGAACACGTCTCTGAAGTAGAAAGCAGGGGGAAAGCGCCCGGAGTCGACTTGCTCGCGTTCACGGCAAGTTCGCGTCTGACAATGGTGAATGAGAACAACTACTTATGCGGTCAGTTGCAGTGAAGCTGTCCCGAACGGTTGAAGCACTTATTCGGGATCAGCCAGAAAATTGTAAGTCGAAAATCGAGAAGATGAAGTGACCAGTCAGCTGAGGTATTCTCGGGTTTATCGGGGGCGCGTTAAAGACGATCGGCCCGTATCGGTGGATGACACTCACTCACTGGCAGTTGATTGGTATTCATGTTCAGCACTGTCAGTATCACCACAATCGCAAACAAAACCAGTGCTGAACTCAATTCGAAAGATGTGAATGATATATAGATATGCGGACGGAAGAGTCATCACCTCTCCTCGATCAAACGAAGAGAGGAGAGTCATCCTGGGCCTGCATAGTCAAAATTGAAGCAGTTGCGTTGACGTCGACGGCTCTAGGCTGCCAGTCCCTGTCAGGCTTCAGGCCAACGATCGATGTTGAGGATCCTCATCCGCTTCAGTGAGTGATTAAATGAATGCGCACGATGTCGTCTGGGGGGTCCTCCGGACGAATCATGCCAGTGAAAGAAGGTCATCTACCAGGTCGAAACGCCCGAAGATACAGTTTGAAGCTGTCTTCTGACCAGATGTCGTTTGACATTAGCGGCCAATGACGCAGCAGTAAATCAGGAAGGGGTGCTCATGGCCTATAAGTACCCCTCCTTGAAACTCGAAGGCTAATCCAGTGATCTAAAGGCACAGACGTTTTAGCGTTGAAATAGATCTATGCAAGTCTGATTTACATGGCGATTTCGAGAATTTGTAGCATCATGCCCTTATCATGCCCCATAATCTCGGGATCTGAAGAGATGTTAAATTGGGATGAAATGCGAGGCGTGGTTTCTTGATGCGACCTGCGTAAATGACTCGTATATAACGGCTACGTAGTCAGTCCTTGTGCGTAGAGCAAAAAATAATGAATGCCGAATGAATGTGAAGAAGGTAAGTTCACCACGCGTCTACAATAACGCGTCGTCGGACGCGTTGAATTACGTGTCACGAGGTCGTGAAGTCGATTACCCGAAAAGGCATCACAAATTGTGTTCGCTGTCTCCGCTCCGAGTCGCTCCTTGCGCGTGCCAACTCATCCTTGCGACTGTCGACCAGCCGCCAATTGACTTGGTCTTTCCCACCAACTTCGCTGCATTAGCTTGCAGCGGAAACAACGAAGGCCATGCTAGCACACCAACTCTTTCAATCTTGTCTACGGACTCGGCCACATGCTATTGCCACATTCGCCAGCTGTCCCTGGCGCCGCAATGCTGCGACCGCTGCAGCCCTCGCAAAGGCTCCAGAGCCTGAGCTGGAAGCTCCTGCTGCACCCTCGTATCCCCTCTCTGACGGAGACTTGCATCGACTAAGGTTCCAGCGGAACATTGGCGTGTCTGCTCACATAGACTCGGGCAAGACTACCCTTACGGAGCGCATATTGTACTATACTGGACGGATTCGCGAAATCCACGAAGTGCGCGGACGGGATAACGTAGGCGCAAAGATGGACAGCATGGATTTGGAGAGGGAGAAGGGTATCACTATCCAGAGCGCGGCCACTTTCTGCGACTGGGTCGCTACTATGCCGGTAACTGGAGAAAAAGAGAAGTATGCCATTAATATCATTGATACCCCAGGCCACGTCGATTTTACCATTGAAGTCGAACGTGCTCTACGTGTGCTGGACGGTGCAATCTTGGTTCTCTGTGCGGTCTCTGGTGTCCAGGTATGTCAAGTCTGCATTGCTTTGTATAATATCCGCCAAGCTGCGTTTGCATTCAGAGTCAAACAACGACGGTCGATCGGCAAATGCGGCGGTATAATGTGCCTCGGATATCGTTCATCAATAAAATGGATAGGTGCGTCGGGAGCCGCTATTACAATATGTGAAATCACCTCATGTATGTGTTTGTCACAGACCTGGCGCAAACCCTTGGCGTGTCATTGACCAGATTCGAGCGAAGCTGCGAATTCCTGCAGCTGCTGTACAAGTTCCCATAGGCGTCGAAGACGAGCTCAAAGGTGTCGTTGATCTCGTACGCTGGAAGGCTGTCTACAACGAGGGCGAAAAAGGGTGAGGATATGCGGTGAATGCCTTGCACGGTTTTGACATTCGCCTTCTAGCAACACCATCGTCGAATCAGATGAGATTCCTGCTTCGGTGCTTGAGTTCGCCCAATCGAAACGCCGTGAACTCGTGGAACAACTGGCCGAGGTCGATGACGAGATCGGTGAGATGCTAATCATGGATGAAGAACCCAACACGCAGCAGCTCGCCGAAGCAATTCGTCGCGCGACAGTCGGTCTTAAGTTTTCTCCGGTATTTTTGGGCTCTGCAGTCAAGAATATGTCGGTTCAGCCTCTCCTAGATGGTGTGTGCGCGTACCTCCCGACGCCGTCGGAGACAGAGGTTGTCGCGCATGATACGACGCTTCCCATTGATGCGGCCCCAGTACCTCTGGTCCCTGCTGCAAATGCTCCTATGGTCGCGTTGGCATTCAAGCTCGAAGAAGGTCGCTTTGGACAGCTCACGTATATGCGTGTGTATCAAGGTAGCATACGCAAGGGGCAGTTCATCTTTCAAGCGCGGACGGGGAAGAAAGTCAAGGTCCCTCGCTTGGTGAGGATGCACAGCAACGAAATGGAGGTATGTACTTCCGTCGTCTCTCTAAGTCCTCGTGCAGCTGACAGTGATGTTTGAAGGATGTGGAGGAAATTGGGCCTGGCGAAATCTGTGCGATCTTTGGTGTTGATTGTGCTTCCGGTGATACCTTCACTGACGGCTCATCGAATTTCTCCATGGTGAGTGTTTTCCGCTTCGCCGGGATGTCTGACTCATGCTGAGGATCTCCAGACCTCCATGTATGTGCCAGAGCCTGTGATCTCGCTCGCTCTAAAGCCTGTGGGACAAGAGACTCCAAACTTCTCTCGCGCCCTGAACCGGTTCCAGAAGGAAGATCCTACCTTCCGGGTGCACATTGACAAAGAAAGCAAAGAGGTGACGAATCCCGTCTGTAGTCAGCTATTACGATGTTTCTGACGACAGGTATGACGATGTAGACCATCATCTCTGGCATGGGAGAATTGCACCTTGAGATCTATGTTGAACGCATGAAGCGCGAGTACAATGTCGAATGCACGACCGGCAAGCCGCGTGTGGCCTTCCGCGAGACAATCACGCAGCGCGCAGACTTCCATTACACGCACAAGAAGCAGACTGGTGGTGCGGGCCAATATGCACGGGTCATTGGCTATGTGGAGCCTATGGAGCCTGATCCGAAGACGGGAAAGGATGTCGCGTTCGAGAACTTCGTCATGGGAGGCAACATTCCCTCGAGCTACATCCCGGCATGTGAGAAGGTGAAGTCCCCTGCGGTGTTTTTGCTCGCGAGGAACACGTCTGACTGATATGCTGAGTAGGGCTTCTTTGAGGCGCTGGAGAAGGGTAGCTTATCTGGCAACCCGATATGTGGGAGCCGCCTCGTGCTGCAGGACGGCCTCGCACATTCTGTCGACTCGTCCGAGTTGGCGTTCCGTCTCGCGACGATCGGCGCTTTCCGTGAAATCTATGCGAAGACGAAACCGGTCATCTTGGAGCCCATCATGAAAGTCGAGGTCGTTGCACCTTCGGAATTCCAAAGTGCGTCCCGTCCTAGCGATCTCACAGTCTGTAACGCGAGTGGTCTCATATCTGACGTCAATATTTTCTAGGTGCTGTCATTGGTGGGTTGAATCAACGGCGAGGAACGATTACGGACAGTGAGGTCCGGGAGGACGAGTTCACGGCCATCGCGGAGGTCGCCCTGAACGACATGTTCGGGTACTCGAGCCATTTACGCGGTGTCACCCAGGGCAAAGGTATGCTGTATCTTTCCCTCGCCGTTTATCCGGTCACTTATACTGGCTGCGCGTTTTCTTAGGTGAATTTAGCATGGAGTACAAGGTACGCCTATTTTCTGTTACGTTTTGTGTGCCTGTGCTGACTGGGCGGACGTAGTGCCATATGCCTGTTATGCCGCAGGTGCAGAAAGAGCTGGAAGAGGCATACAAGAAGACTCTCCCGCAGGCGAAAAAGTAATTGTGTACGGTATGACATTATGATATATAATACGTAGACTAGTTTGCTTTCGTTGTTCACGCTGCTCAGAATTCATGAGATAGAATCACGCGTCTGCGTGGGGGACAGATGTCGACTAGATTGCCAGCAATCACCGCAGGGAGCCACGGTACGCATGGGTTGACAGCAAAAATATGCCGAAGATCTGAACACACCGTCTAATGCTCGATGTCGACGTCCTGCATGTCGACGTCCTGTTTCTTCTGGCCAGAAAAGCCGGAAGGTTCAGGTGTGCATCTCGCGTATTATGCCGTGTTCGTGTTCTCGCCCCTGTGGTCTGAACTTGTGCTCAGGAACAGAACAAGATAGGGCGGATGTCAATGGGCCTTGGGAACAGGGCCGCACGCTGTCGGCAGGTCAACTCGCCGTACTCAGTCGGTTTGCAATGGAATTTAGCTGTCCATTATTCAAACTAGGCATTGCACACGACACAAACAGCTCGAATGGTTTGAAGCTGCGATGGGATGCTATCGAAGGTAGTATCACCATACGCAATGGGCTTAACCACATCCACGGCTCAGGATGCAAGCGAGACAGGGTGCAGGACAGTGCCCTGTTGACGGCCTCCTGATGATCGTATTCTGTACGCAAATGTGCCAAAGGCCATCTGCTCGCCAAGAAGGTGCGCAGGCTCTGTCAGTGTCTTCCACGATGTGATCCGGCAACGCAAACGTGTTGCCTGTGCTCCCGGTTCTGGTCTGTGTTCCATTCTACATCTATCACCGCCATGCAGGGACATTGGGCATCGTTTTGAGAACACCTCCGACGCCTAATTTGATCATACTTCGGACCTCAGGCCTTGGGTAATCAGAAGTAAAGCAGGATGGGTGTTCAAACTCGCATATTTGTTGATGCTCCGTGCTTAGCGGAGGAGGCTACGTGCAGAAGAGAGCAACGGTGGCACGCAAATGAGGCGGAGGAGTCTGTTCGAGTGGCGACGTGCTAAGCATGAGACGTCGAAACCGACGCACCCACAGACGTCTGGCTCTGAGCAGGCAGCCGAGAACCCCCCGGGGCGACCACCACACGAATACGGTGTACAATCTGCGATATGTCCCGCACGCATCAGAGCAACCCCCACATTATCCCGATCGTCGCGCCCGTCGTACTTGTTCCGAGTACCCACAGCGCGTGCAGTGGTCACAGGATTCCCTTGTTGAGCACGTAGTCTCGAGCTAGCGAAGACGGGTGCGGCTCAGCGGCGGAAGGCCGGCCGCAGGTGCCAATCCGACTGGCATACTTTTTCCTGCTGGCTTTTAGACAGAAGTATCCACGCGTTCGAGCATGGATCACGACAGGGAACACGAGAGGTCTGGGCAGGACATTTCCGGAAAGCACGGGTCAAAATTTGATGCTATGAACACAATCCTGCGACGACATCCCAGTGATACAGCTCGAGGTCGATTCCAATACGAGACACATACAAACGCGCTGACCCACGCCACAGAACATGCAGGATATGTCTTGACGACAGTATTGAGCCGTCGGGGGTACATCCCCTGGGCCGGCGGATCGACTTCAACGCGACGATGGCCGAGTTCTGCGACTATGGCCCGGAATTCAACCTCACCGGGCGCGACTCGAGGAGGTGCTGGGCATTCTCTGGTGACTTCGGAAAAGGTGTTCACGTACCTGTTCAGCGGCGAGTATGGCAACATCGCGTGGATCGACTCAACGCCGTGCGTGAAATGGTGAGTGCAGGATGTTGAATGGTCGTCGGCAGTGCAGCCTAGTGCAACCAGCAGACTCACCCGCAGGCATGGCGAGCCCGCGCCCTCGATGTGCAGACTCGAGTTCGCCTCGCTGTCGACGATGTACACGCCGTAGGAGTTGCAACCACATCGATGTAGTAGGAGATGGCGAGCTATGGGAAGACGACGTATGCGCCGGACTTGGCTCCCTGTGTCCTGCGAGCTTTGAAGAGATCGTAGTACACCGTGCTGCTAGTGTATGCGTGCCGCTACATGCGAATTTTTGACTTCGGCTTGGGTTGATAATGCGTCAATTTAATGATGTATCCATACAGGGTGAGGAAATTGATACAAGTCTTGCCGTTCGTCGCTTTACCTAACTTTTTCTCGGCCTATCGGCGCGCACGTATGTCATCAGCCACCCAGCGGCAGCGGCCGATCGCGCACTCGATCTAGCTTGTTCGTCTGTTATTCTTCTCTGCCTGCGCAAATCTAGCCCAATGCACTTCGATTGTGGTTGAAGCATATGGGTGGTTAGTCTCAGACGGTAGGACGATGAGAGCACTACAGCTGAGCGTGGAGCGGAGGTCTCAATATGCATTGTCCCATTCCTTTCGAAACTGGCCGATCAGAGATCCCCAAATTTATGCCGACGCATGTCAGACGCATATGTTCTCCAGTCCAACGAGAATCTCACAGCAACCATGCTTTCACAAGACCCCTCCATTTTTTGCTCCACATGACCATAACAGGACGGGATGGGAGTTGAAGCTATCTACTAAACCTCATGAGAGTCCAGTCAGCGTTTCATGGAAATTGAGTATCCGCCTAGTTATACATACAAAGCCACCCAACATGCTGCGCTCACCATAACACCCACGGCGTCGGGTCGATCCACGCGACGTTGCCGTACTCCCCGCTGAACGGGTACTGGAACACCTTCTCGACGCGGTCGTACGGCGCATACTCCTCCGGAGTCATCAGCAGCGTGATGCCCGCCTCCTCGCGCCCGGTGAGGTTGAACCCCGGGCCGTAGTCGCGGAACTCGGCCATCGTCGTGTTGAAGTCGATCCGCCCGCCCGGGACGCCCGCCCAGGGGATGTACCCCGACGGCTCGATGCTGTCGTCGAGATACGTGTACGCGAAGATCGAGCGGTCCTGCGCGTTCTGCGGCGCGCGTCAGTGCGTCGTCGGCGACGCAGCCGGGGGACTCACCCATGGCCGGCCCAGGGCGCACTCGCCCGCGATGTGCAGGCTCGCATTCGCCCTGCGCACCTCGCTGTCGACGATGTAGACGCCGTAGGAGTTGACGAAGGTCGTGTTCGTCCCCTTCCACGCCGTGATCCCGCCGCCGCAGCTGCGCAGCGACAGCAGCGACGACTGCACCCAGAGCGTCCCGTACCCGTACAGGAAGTCGGTCTGGCCGGCGATCTCGCTGTCATACATGTACGTGTTCCCAAGCTCGCCGACGTAGATCTGCCGGCCGGGCATAGTCAGCTCCAGATTGCGAGGAAAATAGTATGACTGCCGCGCACGGTATCCTGGTAGCTATAGAACCCGCAGTAGTAGAATCCAGCGTTGGCGTAGCTGATCCCAATCGCGAGGCTCGGGGTGTCGGAGTACGGTGCGTAGTCATTCACGATGTCAATGTTGTATGCGCGGAAATCGGTGCTCCCAAAATGGTGCCCATCCGGCCCCGTTAAGCTTGCATTGAAGGTGACCGTGAGCGTGCTCGTCCGTGCGTTATCCGAGGGGCCCGCGACGGCCGCCCACAAGATGCTCACTGCGTTTTGCGTGCGGTCCGTAGGAGCCACGGTCTGGCCCAGGAGTGTGACGGGACCGGGACGAGTGACGTTGACCTGTTCCGTGTAGTTACCTGGGAGGATGAGGATAGTGTACGGTGTAGCATCATTTGGGAGGCTGAGGACGGCAGACTGGATGGTGGTGAAGTTGACATTACTAGTGCCTGGTGGGCCAACGAGGAGGGTGCCAGACGCACAGCCAGATAAGGGGTCGTCAGTGGGGTACTGGCATTCAGCGCGGCCGGCCCAGACAGTGTCGCAAAAGAGGAGGACGGCGAGGGAGTAGACGAGTGCCCGGACCAGTGACGTCGACAGCGGCATTTTGCTTCCCGGGACGCGAAAGCAAGCGGGTCGAGCAAAAGTGACTGCAGTATTTATGGAGCCCAGAAAGACCCAGAGATGTGCAACTAGCAATTCACGCACCCTGTCTTCTCCCTTCTTCCAGGCCCGAACTCAAGTAGCCAAGCAATGGGAACCGCAATCGAGCTCACCCAGTGTGCCATATTCACTGGTCAGCGGACCAGGCGGGGCTGACTGACTGACCCGGTAGAAGCACACCCTGCGCCATAAAATCGAGCAGCCGCCCACTGGCGTGGTTGGAGGCAGACAAACGCTGGACTCATGATCGACATCTCCAGCTGGCGGGCCGAGGATGGGGGAGAATGCAGGCTGTGTCTCCCCGCGGACCGTACTGGACCGGCAATACCTCCCAGCAAACCTCCAGGAAGCTTGTGCACCGGGATGCGGAGTTGGGCGCGAGAGCTGTGGGCGTACTACACAGACGACCTCATGACAGTCGGAATTTCTTGCATCTTCAATACTGTTAGATCCGGGTCGTAGGAATTGACACCAAGCGCCGACGGGTTTTCTTGCATCTTCAATACCAACACCGTTGGATTCGGGCTGTAGGAATTGAGGCTATTCGCCGAGTAGGAGAAGTGTGAATGCACCACCGAATACAAGGAGGCCAGCAACTGAAACGAATGAAGAATGGCCCCAGTCGCTGCAACAATTATGTAAGAATCCTACAATTGCCCTCGATTCTCAAACTTAGTTGTGGGAGCCCAATTTGAGCTTCTACGCGGCGTCGTTGTATGAACTTGCATACGGTGAATGATAGAGAACACGCACTCCCTGATTTTGTCTTTTGGCCTTGAGCGAAACTTTGTGGGAAATGAGAGAGAAAAAGCTCAAGGAAATATTAGAACGTTCAACTCTCCAGCTACATCATTGCGTGAGAGCTTCGGAGAACAATAGTAGGTATTCAAGAGGAGTTTCCGAATGCATCGTCCTTGGTCACGATCACGGTCTCGTGACCTTAACGCGCGTGCACATGGACGCGGCGCGTTGACTGCGCGCTGTCTCTTTCTCCTCGTTTTCCACGATGTCCGCATACACAGCGAGTCCCCCGTCTGAAAACGACTACGATCTGATTGACGGATACCCCTCTGAAGACGATGAAATCCTCATCGCGTATGTCGCCTAGTCTCTGGTCACATCAGGTCTGCCCTGTCTTACATGTCGCCCAGCGTGATGGGAGCGACGGGATCTGGGAAATCCACCGTAAGCATGCTCGCAGAACCGCTCTTCCTGTGCTCCAACACGTCTCTCTAGTTCATCAACATCGTCAGCGGCTCCGATTTCCCCGTGAACGACGGCCTTAAATCGTGCACCAGCAACGTCGAGTTCTCGTGCCCCTTCGAGCTGGGCGGCCGCAATGTCGTGCTCATCGACACCCCCGGATTCGACGACACCACGCGGTCGGACACGGACGTGCTCAAGCTCATCGCCGCAGAGCTGTCGAGACTGTGCGTCCGGCGTGCACCACACGCACCCCCCCCCACACACA